ATTAGGAAAACATTCCTAACTGTCAGGGTGGTCAAATATTGGAATAAATTGCCAAGGGAGGTGGTGGAATCTCCCTCTCTGGAGATATTTAAGAACAGGTTAGATAGACATCTGTCAGGGATGGTGTAGACGGAGCTTGGTCCTGCCTTGAGGGCGGGGGGCTGGACTCGATGACCTCTCGAGGTCCCTTCCAGTCCTATGATTCTATGACCATCAGAGCTTTCTTGTGCAAGAGAGTATCCACATTGCCATGTGCTTTTGTGCAAGAGCGTCCTTGGCAGTGTGGACACGGTCTTGGGCAAGAATTTTTGTGCAGAAACTCTTGTGCCAAACAGTTTTTGCACAAAAATCCTGCAGTGTCGACACAGCCTCACAGCAAAGGGACCTTTAACAAGATGGAGTTTTCCTCTTCCGGCTCATGGATTAAATCCACAGGGGCAAGGCGGAGCTCTACTAGTTATAAAACCTCGGCACCCTGCCTCAAAGAAAAACCTCAAAGCAATTCACTAACAACAGATAAATAAATCAGTTCCTGCTAAAGGCAAATCATGTTGAAATAAACATTTATTTCTTATGGCTGCAGCGCGTTTCAGGCAGCGTCACCGGGCTGGTGTTACGCAAAAATTCAGTTTCAGCGTCCAGTGCCGCTCAAGGCCCATTGTAGGTAAACAGGCCGTCGCCTCGGCCTGGTCAGTCCGAACTGCACCCTTCACCACTTTCTAACTTCACAAACAGTTGCTTAATGGAGTATGGCCGTGGCGCCTCCTGGCTAGCAGAGAGCAGCCTCTGGTTAGCGGTGAGCCGGGGCTGCCAGCCAGGGAGGCTGGAGTTGTCTTTAGGCATGTAACTACAAAGTACCAATGCACATTGAGCTGGAGACTTACATTGTGATTTCCTGCTTGCTGACTGACATCGGACCACCCTGCCTGTCCCCTCCGCCCACCACAGGCATCAACGACCTCATCCACTTCGACTTCATGGACCCGCCGCCCCACGAGACCCTGGTGCTGGCCCTGGAGCAGCTGTATGCATTGGGGGCGCTGAACCACCTAGGGGAACTCACCAAGGTAGGGGGGGCCTCGTGCAGCTGGGGCAAAAGCAGGATCTGGCTGTGGCTAGGCGCTCCCTTGCATGGTGGGACCCAGGGCTCCTCGGCTGGGACAGCCCCAGGCTGCAGGGTAGGGTGTGAGCCTCTCGCCTTGGGGGTCAGGAAGGGAGCTTCACCCCCCCACTCCCCTCTCTTGGTGTGACCAGTGAGCCGCTGCGTGGGGGGGCTTTGCTGTCTTGGGGCAGGATCACAGAGCTAGAGGGGCTTGATCCAGGGTGGCCAAGCAGACAGGCCTGTAGGGGGAGCAGAGGGTGGGGGAACCACTCTGACAGCCCTGTGTGTGTCTCTCCCAGCTGGGGCGGAAGATGGCAGAGCTGCCGGTGGATCCCATGCTCTCCAAGATGATCCTGGCCTCTGAGCAGTGAGTCTCCCTTTTTACCTCTCCAAAAGCTCCAGGGCTCCCTCTCCCTGGCTCCTCTCACCTCCACCCAGGCTCAGCTGCTGCCTTAGCCCCTGAACCCTCTCGCTCCTCACAAAGGCCACGGTTCCCAAGCCCCCTTGGGGTCAGCTTTCCGGGCCAGGCCCCCTCACTCTCTAACGCTGCCTCCCTCGGGGCGTGGCAGGTACAAGTGCTCGGAGCAGATCCTCTCCATCGCGGCCATGCTGTCCGTCAACAACTCCATTTTCTACCGGCCCAAGGACAAGGTGATGCACGCGGACAACGCCCGCATGAACTTCTTCCTGCCCGGCGGGGACCACCTGGTGCTGCTGGGGGGGGGCCGGGGGGGGGGGCTTTTTTTTCCCCTGGAGTCACCAGCATGGAGCCCTCCCCAAGGCAGGGGCGCTGGCTGATGGGGAATGGGGCCTTTCCCCGTGAGTGGGCACTGGCGCCCCACGGATTCCAATGTCCAGGGGATGGACTGGGGCCAGGGGTAGAGAATGGGACACGGGGCTGTTCCCTCTTCCACCCATTCCCTGGGGTGCTTGCTGCAGTCTGGCTCCAAGCAGGAGGAGAATGTGTGTGTGTGTGTGGGGGGGGGTCACTCCCTTGGGGGGCCTCTGGCTCCAATACAGTCACAGGCCAGGTCTCCCAGCTGCCCCAGCCAGCTGTGTCCCTCCTAAGGGGTGGGGCCTAGGTTCACAGCTGGGGCTGGCTCTGACTCCTCTCCCTGCCCCGCAGTGGGTGGAGAGCGCTTTCTCCATGCAGTGGTGCTATGAGAACTTCATCCAGTTCCGGTCCATGAGGCGGGCCCGGGACGTTGGCTCCAATACAGTCACAGGCCAGGTCTCCCAGCTGCCCCAGCCAGCTGTGTCCCTCCTAAGGGGTGGGGCCTAGGTTCACAGCTGGGGCTGGCTCTGACTCCTCTCCCTGCCCCGCAGTGGGTGGAGAGCGCTTTCTCCATGCAGTGGTGCTATGAGAACTTCATCCAGTTCCGGTCCATGAGGCGGGCCCGGGACGTGCGGGAGCAGCTGGAGGGGCTGCTGGAGCGCATCGAGGTGGACCTCACCTCCAGCGAGGGGGACTACGTTCCCATCCGCAAGGTAACCCCCCTCCCCCT